TGTTTTATTTCAGCTACTTAACACCTTTCCTCTCTTTTGAAAAAGGAGCTGCTCAAAGTGGTTTACAGCAGTGTTCCCCAAACTTGGCCACTTGAAGATGGGTGGACTTCAACTCCCAGAATTCCCCAGCCAGCCATGCTAGGAAACTTTAAGATGGATGGACCTCAACTCCCAGAATTCCCTGGCCAGCATGGAAGAAGTGTATAGCAGCTGAAAACAGCAATGCCTCCCTTGATCAAGGTTGACTTTGGGGGCCTATTCAGATCCTCTTTTTTGAATCCTCCAGAGGTAGTTTGTCCCCGATGTCTGGTTATTTCCTTTCAAGGTCAGCGCAGGCTTTGATTTTTGGTCTCTAAATCAATTCTCCCCCAGCCCACTCTTATGCGGGCATCTGTCCCCCCTCCCTGCATCAGTGACCCCGAGTCAAAGTGTGCAGTTCTTGATGTGCAAAGGCTGCACAGCCCTCGTCTTTTAAGGTACGCTTGAAGTGCAAAGTTGGGTTAGATGTGTGTTACATTCTTTATTACTCCAGATCAGTGCTTCTCAACCTTGGTGACTTTAAGACGCGTGGACTCCAACACGCCCCAGAATTTCTGGGAGTTGGAGTCCATGTGTCTTAACGTTGCCAAGCTTGAGAAACACTGATCCAGATAATGAACTTTTTAGTTTTTCTGTCCTTGTAACTGGGAAGAGGTCTGACTCCCCTCACTTATATTCACGGGAATATAAGTGATATGATCCCAAAACAACATCTGGGTTTGTACAATATGGTAGCTCAAACTGGCCTAGAGCTTTTATGTTTCAGCAGGTTGCTCTGTCTGTCTGTCTGTCTGTCTGTCTGTCTCTGTCTCTCTCTCTCTCTCTCTTCTTTCTTTCTTTCTTTCTTTCTTTCTTTCTTTCTTTCTTTCTTTCTTTCTTTCTTTCTTATCTATCAAATTTATAACGCCACCCATCTCACTGTATAAGTGACTCTAGGCGGCTTACAAATAAAAAGAATCATATTCTAATGATTAATCCCTTTGTACTGAACT